ATAATAATAATAATAATAATAATAATAATAATAATAATAATAATAATAATAATAATAATAATAATAATAATAATAATAATAAATTCTATGAGATAATCAAATATAATTTATAACATAATAATTTCTAATTATAAGATAGTAAGTTAACTTATAACATAATAATATCTAAATTATAACATAATCTATATAATAAATGAAAATTTGATTATAAAAAAAAAAAATGCGCGGCCGGACTACGATTAAAAACCGGCCATATGGTCGGCCTTCCGGCGATTGCGGCCAACCATGTGGTCAGCGGGCCGGCGATTGCCGCCGACCGCCACCGTGCGCGGCCGGTTTGAAAGGGTTCAATCAAATCTTGGCTGTTGGAGATCAAATGATCGATTTTGAAAATTGACCATAGGATATCCAGGCCCGCTAGTTCTGTATCTGGGCCCAACCCGACCCAAAACCGACAAAAATTCTTTAATTTATCAAATTTTTAAAATTTGAAAAAAAAAACGTGTTGGTTCGTATCAAAACCGACAATCCAAACAATTTTAATTGTCATGAACCTGAAATGACCTAGACCAAACGAGGACCGGTTCATGGACAGTGATCAACGGTCCGAACCGAAACCCTGTACATGTCCACATTAAAGTATCATCGAGGCATTGTTAAACCTATCTATATCTATCATCTATCATTATATAAAAAGAATAGCCTTTTTATAAATTTAGAAATTTTTCCCACCAAAATCATTAAAAATATATCCTAAATATAATAATTGTTGGACAATTGTGAATAGGCACAAAAACAGTCTATAGCTTGCAACAATAAATCGGCATGCAACAATAAAGCCGATTGGCTTTTGGTTTAAACTTTCCCACAAAAATCTCATATCATAAATCTACACGAGTTTATCTTTTATTTGTTACAAAGGTTTAAACTTTCCCACAAAAATCTTACAGCATAAATCTACACGAGTTTATCTCTTATCTGTTACAAAATCTCATCCCTTATCTGTAAAGATTTAAAAAAAAAAAAATGAAAACCAATTCATAATTACTACTAGAAATCCATTATCTACTTTAAAAAGTTAATTTTCATCCTAATTACTAATATTTTTACAAATATTATAAGCTACCAATACATCCTTGATAACAACGTAAAAAATATAATAACAGTTGTGTGTAATCAAATTTTCTTAGATGGAAGTAACGCCATAAATTCAGTATTACCTGACATAATGTCTTTATTAAATTATGCTCATAATATTTTAGATACTTTAAACGAATTGTTTAGACATTTTTTACATATTCGTCTATATATACATATACACATATACATAATTGATGTTAAATTTAAATAATTGTAGACATGTTTTCCTTAAAAAAATAGTATAGGAAAACCTTTTTTCAATACACATTGTTAAATTCAAATGTTTTTAGATATGTTTTCCTTCTAAAATTGTTTAGGAAAGTTGTAAGTGACTTCACATCTTTCAAAAATAATATAGAAAATTTTGAATACTCTTACATATACTAATATAATATTTTAGGTGTTTTTAATATTAAACATACAAATTTTATATTCTCTTATACAAAATAATGTAAAATTTATATTCTATTTTATAAAATAATTTTACATTTTTTGACCCCGAATATTTATTTTACAATTATTAAGTATTGTTTATCCTCCTCTTTAATTTATAATTATTTGTTTTCTTTCTCTTTTAAATAAGATCAATAGTAGTTTCCACTTCCGCCATTGAATGACTCAAACATGAGGTCTATTTATAATATTGATAATTTAATATTGTTCTCGTGCATCGCACGGGGTACACACTAGTATATATAATAAGAATTATCATTTTCTAAAAAGAGTAAGTAAAAAATCTAACAACATTAATTGCATGCCATTTTGGGGTTTTTTTTTTTTGATTTTTTTTAAACATCAAATTGGCAAACATTAAATGCACCCTAAAATTGTGGATTTGGAAAACAAATCTGTTTCCAAAATTATATAGTATTGTGTTTTTTTTTTCCTTCTTTTTTTTTTTTNTTTTTTTTCCTTCTTTTTTTTTGTTTGTATACATGAGTAATTGCGAGAAATTAGGATGCATCTATAATTAATGTATAATCGAGTATACGGCTCATAGTTTCAATAGATAAAAATCCATAAAACTTACAAGTATAATTCTATAATTCAATTTTTTGTTTAAATAATACATAATTTTAAAAAAAAAAAAATCAAATTTCTATCCCAATGTTTAATAACTAAGATTTGCAAATATAATAATATTTATGGCTTACTAATTTATAATATTTACTTCATAATTTAAATTGAATATGATTTGTAATCGATATACAATGAGATAAGTACACGATACGAAACATTTAATAATTTTTATTCTTTTTTTTCATTAATCAAGTCCTATAAATTAGCGGGATACACACAGTAAAATGAACTTGCATTTGAACAAGATTCCGACATTTTTTTATTCTTACAATCCAAAATTTCCGAATATACACAAATTCAATTAGCATAGCTTTCTTTAAATGAACAATCAAATCGTACATTAAAAAAAAAAAGAAAAAGAAAAACCCGATAAACTTTACTCTCAATCTTGTTTAGTGTATTAGGAGATACTGAAAGTATTGAAATTCTAAAGAATCGGAACAAATACAGAATAAATTATCAGCAAATAAATTATTTATTTTAATTCCTATATATCATGATAATGTGATAAGTATTATCTTTTTTTTTTGTTTTTTTTTTTTGTTTTTTTTTGCCAAATCAAACGTTTTTCAAATTGAAGTATGCCATACACATTTTAAAACGTACTGAGTTTAAATTAGATACCAAGTTTTTTTTGTTATTTTCTCTTATATCAAGGAATAATTTATGTACTAAAAATCAAATTTATATTAGTATAAATGTGTTAGTGAGATAATATAATAATTATTTTACAAGGTAGCCCAAATATGCTTATTTTTAATGTTCGGGCTAAAACACAACATTGATTAAAAGAGGTAAAAAATAGATGATAACCCTATTGCTTTTAGATTTAAACGGACAAAACTTGTGAAAATAATTCATTTAATATATGTGTCTCGTGCATCTCACAGGGTAAGTACTAGTTTGATTTGATAGGGTCAACCAAATTTTCGGTTCCCGCGCTTTTACTAATTTCGCGCGTCAAAGATGGACATGCTCATAAATCAAATCACAAACATTTGAGAATCGAAAAAGATTTCCGAGAGAGAGAGAGAGAGAGAGAGAGAGAGAGAGAGAGAGAGATGCTTGGGAGAGTAAGAGCATCGACGATGAGCTCTTTGGAACTTCTGGAAATGGAAAGGCCACCTCCCAAAATCATCAAACACGACTCCCTCTCCATTTATGGTACCCAATTTCTAATCGATACACTTCGTTCGAGCTGCAGATCTATCGTACTCGTTTTTTCTTGTTCTTTTAATATGATGTAGTTGTTGCGAAGGTGTTTGCTTATGGAGGGCATATTTAGGGATTTTGGTGGAGAGATCTGTTTTTACTCTGGAATTGATGGGTGTTTTGTAGAAAAGGGCCTAAAATTTCTAACTGATCTAGTGCTCAATGTGAAGTACTAATCTTCGCAGTGAATTAAGAAATAAATAATTGGATTCTTATAGGGTCTGGTAATTGATTTTATGAACAAACTCTCGTCTGGTTAAGAATTCGAGTCTCAAGCAGTTTGTAAGAAATAAGGATGAACATTGTATTTACTGCATAAGCGGTAAGTTTATGATGCTTTGTTTTACTGCCCTAAGAACATTTCAAATTAAGTAACAAGCTTCTTCGGTTTTCTTCTTTCATCGAACATATTCCCGAAATCCAAATGCTAGGTTAAATGCAGGGATTGAGTTCATTAGGGTAAGAGTTTGTTTCCCCCTTCATAGATTTAGCAAAAATGGGTCGAAGGTTGTGCAAATTAGACTGCCGTTTCCTTTCCAGAATCATATGTCAAGCTAGGAATCGAACAGCCTTTCATACACAATTTTAACTATATGCACAAAAGGTGTACTTTTTTTATTTGGGGTACAATGGTACATGGAGCTAATGATACTATTTGTATAATTAGTGTGTTGAAACAAAATAGAAATGATCTTCACAGCTTTATTCTTTTCCAATTGTTGTAGAGTCCACTCTTCTGAAACTCAAGCAAGGCTCTCATTGTAACCCGAGTTGCAGAACTGAGGACTCAGTTAAGAATGACAATGACACACATTGTATTATGACAACTGATTTGCAAAACGAGGCTGCTATTACTGCCAATTCTGATTCTTCCTCAAACTCAAGCTCAGATTTTCAATCTACGGGCTCGTCAAGGGAGCAAGGGGGTAAAAATAGATCGATTCTTTATTTCTTCTCCAAGTGCAAGAGTTCACAACATGCGCAAGACTTGAATGAGAAAGAG